TTAAATCATTATTAGTTCAGGAACATATCCCCCTTGAATAAGCAGGACACTGTGTAATTCTGAAAAAATACTGCTATACAGATTTTGTCAACTAAAATGTGTCAAAAAACAACTTCCACAACTTAAAATAATAATCTATTGGTATGTAATACTACACTTGATCTAATCTAATCCTAATGGTGTATCAGACTGTAAAACAAAAAAGTAGTGGAAAAGTAGTTTTAGCTGGTAATAAAGTTCACAAACCATCAAAAAAGAATATTTATTTACATATATTGTACAATACTGTATTTTCTATGTTTTTTTTTTACATTTTCCTGCAGGTTGTGGTGCACAGTTCCTTTACTTAAAGTATAATGGAAATCTCTGTCAGCTCCATTTAAATATTATCACCAATGCCACAACCACTTACACATCTCTGTAACAAAGACATTTACGTTTCAGGTACAGATATGAACCTAATGTTAAAATGAAGTTGTTTTCACTGATCATATTATCATATTACAAATTCAACACATTGACCATTTCTACTGATCAGGCCACACAGTCTTCAGATCAGATTTAGAAGCTGAAGTACAATAGAGCGGACAGGAAAGATATGGAGGGTATAATCCGGAGTCGATCTGTAGATTGGGACCTGAACCAAGGTACTGTACATGGAGGAACAGTGAGCCCTTTGGGTACTTCAGGAAAAGATATGGGAATTGTCTGAAAAGTAGCATAAATTAAAATGAAACATCAACAAAACCAGTTCACTAGGAATGACAATGCCCCAAATCAAAGTGTAACAAACTATTGTGGAGCGAATATTTGGCTTAACCCACTTGGCTGAGGGCCGACCTCCTGGCCATAGGATGAGGAGGCAAGGATCCCCCCACAAGGTAAAGAAGGGGCAGCTGCAGAGGTGGTGTTGGGGTGGAGGTGGGATACAAAAGTCGCACGCGAGGGAGAGAGATATAGCATTTGGTATTAATAGCGTTCGGTGGAGGAAGGACGAAGGGAGTGATTGCTAATCACCAACAGCTGGGAATGATTGAGTGTGGTTGTTGTCATCCCTCCTGGACTTTAGTTAAATAAACTCCATGAAGCAAGAAGCAAGAGAACAATGGCTACACAATAAAAAGATGAAATGCATAGAAGCAAAGCACAGAGTAAAACTTACGTATTATCACCTACAAACTGAGTCATGAAGGAAATTCCAGATCTCTGACCATTAGCACTGTAGTGTTACCTTTTATGAGACAAAATAAAAAAAAGTATTATGATTCTAGGTCAAGCTATTGTATTATAATTATTTTTTCATTAATAATATGTCATTAAATATATGTTACAATATATACTTACAGTATACCATAAATGAAAAGTAGAGTGTTTTCAGTCCTCAAAGTGTTGAAAATCTCAAGATTTTCTTGCTATCTTTTCTCAAAATTAATGCCCAAATTATGGAGCACCATAAATGTAGCAATTATATGTCTTTTGGAATGACTAATAAAAATATATCATTATTGGGATTGATTTATTAACATTTACATGTAGCAACCTAGAAATATTTGAAAGCTCAGTTACAAACAAAGACTATTTTGGATTCTTCAAATGTTATGTCTTAATGGTTCTCCAAATTTAATCTATTAATGGTTGTTTTTAAAAATAATGAGCTTTTTCATTTTTATTAGTTATTAAGGCTACTCTTCAACTTAGTATAGAGTCCCATAGTTTAACTTAGTATAGATGATCACTAGTATTTAAAAGATAGTAAATACCACCTAGAGTTTTTTTTATTCATTAGTAAACTAGTTTAATATACTTCCAGATGGCTAACAATAGTGCTATTTTTGACATTACCGTTGAGCTAGGGTGCAATGACATACCTGTAATGTATATTAAAAGTATGACAGCACAATGATCAGTACTGGTGAGCACACCATTGCTTTAAACTCAAGCGTGCAAGCAGTATGGCGATCCTGTTCATGCTCATATAGTCTTCTTTGACAGTTTCACAATGCAATCTGCAATAGTTGTGTCTGTCACATTTACAGTGGAAAATGGATGAAATAATAATTATATAATAAATAATAACAGCCTTTTTCATTCCATACATACAAGTAGAGATATAAAGTGATCCACCATTGATGTGAAGGACTCCCCTGAGTGGCACAGAGCACAGATTATGCACTAGCAACCCCACTATACCGCAGATCAGGCAAAGTGAGTTATTGCTTCACCATCTTATTTAAGGGAAGCGAGACTTTATGTGAGATTGTGCAAACACATGGTCGAACCCAGTTAGGACACTTAGGTGAACACTCTTATTTTACAAAGTGTAATTTTTAATGACCAAGTATTTAGAGCCTTGGTTTAATGTCTCATTGAAAGAATGGCACCTCCTACAGCACAGTGTCACTGATCACCATACAGGGACATTGTTTTGGGAATCTTAGTCCAAAAGAAAGAGTGTATTGATCAACTAACCAACACCACTTAGACCAGCAACCTTATTTTTTACCTTGCTTCACCCCTGAAATATGAAGACCACCTGGTAATGTGGCTGTTGTTTATATAGTTGACAAAACACTCATTGTTTTCACATGTAACATAAAAAGTATTGAAGAAATTTTAAGAGAAAGGTCAATACTATAATTAGAACTAGATACAGTACAGATGTGAGACTGATCCTACCCAACTAAGCTTTTACAGGGTTACAACCAAGGAAAATATTGGGAAACAGTACAATATGCTTTACCTAGAGTCAAAATGACCTATTAATTAGAAAATGAAACACTAAAACTGATATACAGTAGGTGTGTCTCTCATTTTTTAGATAAAAATATTATTGTTCACTGTAAAAAAAATGAAAGCATCTATGAGTTCCTCAGGGGTCAGTGCTGGGAACACTAGTGTTCCCATTAAATGTATATATATGTGTAATTTTACTGAATCAAGACATCTAAGAATTTAACTTTCAGACTAGTGGACAAGGAAAATCAAGAACAATTAATTCAACAGTAAAACACAAACCAGAAGTCACTAAGGGAAAGGGCATTTAAAACAAACCAGGAGGCATATCTTCGCTCAGAGGGCTGTGTACGTCTGGAATAAGCTAGCTACTTAAAGCCTTTTCTTAAAAAAAGTCAGAGCATCCAGATTTTGATTAAAATACTCACAATCAAGTGCATAATTTAATGTATATACTGTACTTTGTAGTTCAATAAAATGGGATATCTGTGCAAGGGGGTGAATATTTTGGCAAGACACTGCAAGTCTTCAGCCTTACACAGAGAACAGCGGAAGGTCAACCTTAGCTGCTATTTCAAATTCAATACAGACAGCAGGTCTAGAGGGCACAAGTGAAAGCTGAGTGAAATTATATTTAGAATAGGTACTGGGTCTCTACACCAAGGACTATAAATGTGTAGAATAGATTATCAGGATGATTTGCAGCTCTGTCATTTAACCAAAACAATAAGAAAAATCTAACAGTACCCTGCTAGTGTTTTTTTACTGAGGGAAAAGCCTTTTTGAACCCAGTGGCATTTGCTTTATCCTACCATTTCCCATGTACTGTATTTTAGTGGTCCTCTGTTTTGTACTGAAGTAAACAGTCTCAAATCCTCAAGTTACCTTCAAATATTAAACAAGCTCAGCTGTTGTATATATGGAATGGATTTCTTTTCATACCTGCAATTTCTAAATCAACAATTAATGGGTTTAAAGGGGTTGTTTTGAATGGATGGTTTAGGAATTTGGATTGCAATACAATGCCAAAAACGTAAGGAAAAACATCACTTGCGCACGGCAAATTCATTTGTCTCCACTAGAGGACACTAGAGGGCCAACATATTTTTTCTAATGCCAATACCACGTAATTGGTTAGAAAGACTAAATATTTCTAATCAGTATAAATTGTCAAAATTGCATTTTGAATTTTTAGAAAACCAAAACTTCACTTAAAATGTCTATTCCTTTCTTGACCTACACAGTTGCAGTATTAAAATCATTTAATATATTTAAACTTAAAAAAGAAAACTTTACATTCTATTGTTTATGAAAATCACGTTCTACACGGAAATGCGAAATGTGCCGTGTTTTAAGATCAGTCTGCTTTCTTCTACGTGTTTGAATTCCGTATCTGTTTTTCAGACTGCATTATTTTGTGAGTTGGAGATCGCCGTGAAAATGTACAATCTTAAAATAGTTCTGGCGTTCTAACTTGAATGTGCTGCAAAAGTCTACTGCATTTTGGTAAAAAGCTCAATCGTATACAGTCCTAATTTCTGCCTACATTGTTAGCAAGAGTATATTACTATTAAGATGCTGTAGAAAATCCAATATACCTGCAACTATTGCTGCCTTGAAAGTTAAAGATAATTATATTTCTAACTGTTTGCATTTCTACAGCACTTTTCATTTTAAAGTATCCCATAGCGCTTAACACTGTGTCCAGCAATGAAGTGCAGCACCCAAGTGGGTGACAAACAGTACAGCAGCCATTATGTGCCAGCACACAGCAGTGTGGAAAAATGAGAATCTACTTAAATTGAATTTATGGATTGCAAACTGGTATTGTAATTTGGAGGCAAGAATTTTCCAAGTTTAGGTACAGTATATGTTTGCTGCTACTGACTAGGACTTTTCTAGTTTTGGTTTACATGCACTATATACATATCAGTTTGTGCAATCCAATAACATAATTCAAGCAAAATAAATTGAATTTCTTAGAAAAAGATTTTAAAAATGTAGTCATCGCTCTAAACATATTCCTGAAAAGAGGTATCTATTACTATGTTCAGTATTATAAATATTCCAAGGGCAAAGGAATGCATGTAGATCTTAAAAGTATCACTGAAAATGTATCAAATGCATCCAAGTTCTTGAACCATAAGAATTTAAGGAAACAAAACAAAGAAAAGACAGTTAATAGAAAATGCACTTTAATGTGAAAAAGAGAAAACAATATTTAGAACTAATGTGTGAATAGAAAAAAGAATATTTAGAATCAAGGGTGCACTTTAAATTCTTCAACCTTTTATTAATTTTGTAAATGCTACACATACAGGAGCAGTTGGTTTTCCTTCACTTTACAAATTATAAATGAAATATAGCTTACTCTTCTTCTATGATATTTCACAATATCCATCTGAGGGGAAGCAAAGTCATCAAAACAAGACAAGGCAATAAATAATTTCTTAAAATAACTAAGAATATTTCATAAACCTTTAGATACTTTCCTTATGTATATATGTATATATTTATATTTTAAAACGTGCAGGACATTAGAATCTTTAATTTCTTAATTACAGAAAAACAAATGGTACTCCCACAAACTGGTGTGCAATTTTGCACATAGCTCTCCCAGTGCAGAGGATTTGGCTGTACAACTATTTACAATAAATGTTGACAGGAACACCAATACTGCAAAGTAATGCTGTTATTCAAAATTTGAAAGCAGGAGAGTTTTGTTGTAGTTGTTATTGACATCCCATCAGTTACACAGCATCTACATTGCAATATACGGCTTGCAAAGAAAAATCTGACAGACAGATTCTAGGGCAGAGCTACAGTAAAACAGGCTGAAGTATCTTACACGGAGAACACTGATGGTAAAATTATCACAAGTATATGGACCAATATATGACATTAAAGAATAGGAATGAAAAGGGAAACAATGCTCTGGCATAAAGGTCAATTCTTTTAGCTTCAGAGGGGATGACAGGTTTTGGTGGAGGTGGCTTCTTATTATTTTTGGCCTGTGACTTCCCCAGAGCACTGCTGACTTCAATGGGCTTTCCGTAACAGTCATAGTTTGACAGTTCAAAATCTCTTGGGAGTGATCCAACAATGCTGAAATCATTGGACCTCAGGTCAGACTTGGAGGTGCAAACTTTTTTGCACCTTGTTTCTGCCACCTATTGAATAATTAAAAAAAAAAACAAGTTAAAAACAGCACTGTGAACAAAAAGTTCCAGTAACATCTCCACTATAGCTCTTAAGCAGAAAATTACACCGTCAAGCATGACAACAGTTCTAAATATGCTCCATACTCATTTAAAAAATGTTATTAAAAACATTCTGGTAGATTAAATCATTGATTTAATCTGCACCTGGAATTAAACTCCAGTTTTTATCAAGAAGTGATATTACAGCAGCATAATACTCACATCTGGTTTTGTATTAAACAATACAATAACTGCACTGTTATTTAGCTCCTTCCAGCAAATCACATACTCTGCTGTCTGGAAACTATATATTGCAAAATAAATTGTTTCTCAAACAAGGACACCCACATTCTATGAACAAAGTCTTAGTTGTATTCCTGCAGCTGAAGCACCAGAATAACTGAACTAAAATGACATATTAAATCCGGCAAGTGAGTCATACTGTATATGAGTATAACTTACCATGATGTTTTGATTCTTTAATCCGGCATACAAATAATTAAAGCTAATTTTAAATATCCAGTGCAAATATTTACTTATGTTTCACTAACACACCCAAAAAACTAACACTAGGCAATGAACTATAAAAACTTACATACTAAACAATTAGGCACTTAAATTCGCATTGCTTCCTATAAGGATTTAAGTGTTCATAAATTGTTTCTACGGTTTAGTCCACAATCAGCAAATATCTGAAATGCAAATTAATCCATATTATATATCAAGAAACTGTCATTGATTTCAAACTCTTCAAAAAGGTTCAAATTTTATGAAGTTGGTATTTCTATCTGAAAATGTTTCTTTACAGCTACAGTACAATATGTGATATAATACAGATATGAATTACAGTGATTGGTGCTGTATTTTAATCAGATTAACACTGCAAACTACAGTATTTCCATACAATAAATACTATTTTCCTAATACACTAGTTTGTTTATACCCTTTATGAAGTTTTGTATTATCTAGGACTATCTTAAATATTTCTGGAAATGTTAGCATAAATGAAGCATGAATTAAGAATTTCAAGAAAAAATGAAACAGGAGAAAAAAGCAGGGATCTGTCTAAAAACTGCACAAATAACTTTGAAAGAGGAAATCTTCCCTCACTGCATAATTGAAAAATCCTGAATTTGTTTTTACAAAGAAATACAAAGTTAAAAGTGTTTTTTTTTAATGCCATGCCTTTAACAGTTTGCTTGTAATGGTTTTTCATTATGAAACAAGGATCTCGAAATGAACCTGTACAGAAATTAAAAATTACAGTTGCATACATAAATATTGGTATAGTCAATCATATAGTTTACCATAAATTAGTTTTCTTACATCAGTTACATAAGACTAATGTTGTAACTTTGTCAGTTTCAAAATGAAAAACGCAGTCCACAGTCAGTGCTTTTAAGCCTAGCCTGAACATTTACTCCTGCGTATAAGTTTATGATTGTTTTATCTTGTTTTTTGTTCCTTGGTTCCTCTTGTATTTATTTTTGTTAAGTATCTTTTCATATATTATAAAACACTTGGAGATCATTGCTTTGGAAGGTGCTTAATAAAGTGTACTGTATATTTTGTAAAATGCTACACATTGCATGAAAGGTAAAAATCTGGAACCCTTATACAGTATTCGAAGAGACAAAAATACCCTGCTTTCAGTGTCATATTTGTAATGTTACTCAACCCATTCTCATTTTCAGATGTATTAATTCAACAGCTCTGCAATTTATTTTTCAAAGAGCAGTTACATGACCACATCTTTGCAGTACTAACTCCTGCCATATACTGCAATGAATAAATCACTTCACATAAGGATTGTTCAGAATTCATGAGAAATAACATCACCCAAGTATTAAATACATTGAGAAATGTACTGAATGTTTTAATCATAGTCAATCTGCCTTAATCAATTTGGCTGTGAGCCAAGCTCCTGGCCATAGGATGGGCCATGGGAGTGATGTGTGAACCAAGGGGCACCTGCACAGGGAGATGGGGTGAAGGAGGGATGCAGAATGATTAATGCAAATGAGGGTAAGGTCTTACATACAGTATAGTATTTAGAGCTTTAACTTGAGGAGATGATGTCTGGAATGATTACGATACAGGACAGCTGAGGCCAGCTGAACTTGGATGCTGTTACCCCTGCTGACATTTTGTTGTAAACTACATTTCTTACATTACAACACAGCTGAAGTAAGGATGAACTTCATGCATTTACACAAGACACATCTACATCCATTAGATATACAGTATAATATACAGTAGCAATGGAACATACCTGAAGTGTGCTCACATGAATAGGAGTTCCTCCTGTACCATTAACTGTATTTTTCTTAGCTGGGGCTTTGCCTTCAGCTTGTTCTTTGCTTGCCATTTTAGCCTTTTCAGCCTCAATCCTCTTGGGGCTATTCAGCATTACCTGTACTACAGCATATTCAACAAGGGATGCAAATCCAAACAGAAGACAGGCGATCAGCCAGATGTCAATTGCTTTTACATATGATACTTTGGGGAGCTCAGAAGCAAGAGATGTACATTCGGATGACAAGCTCAGTACAGAGAAGATTCCTGAAAAAAGAAAAATGAAGGTCAATAAATTGTTTAATGAATAAAAGAACATTTATAACGACAGCTACTTTTTATAGGGATACTGTCTAAATTGTATAGCTTGGTTGCAAGTTTTAAAAGGCAAACCCAATATATCAGACAGCCAGAACTACAAACTCATCAAATCAATTAATGAAATGAAATAATACTGATGTAAGCACATATTTTCCATACACAAAGATTTCTTATTACTTTTCCTGCCTCTTATTTATTTCTACTCAATCTGGTCTTCTGAATATTGAAAAATAAAAAATTTGATACAAATTGATAAAAATTAAAAACAAATCCCTTTTTTCTTACTTGCTAGACATATGCATTTAGTTTAAAGTATATGAGTGTTACAGGAAACAATAATACAGAAAATACAAAAAAAAAGTACACGTTAAAATGATAACCTCTACAAAGTACAGTGGATTAAACTACTGTATCCCTCATGATAAATACATTCACTGTAAATCTATATTGAGACAATTTCACAGTAATATTTGTATTATTCTTAGTACCATCTTCAAACAGATCTATAAGATGATCTTCGTACATTATTTGATTTGAATCCAATATAGGAATTAATGACAAACTTTATGTAATAGTTTAATAATTCTGACAAAATATTAATGACAATACGGTGGCTTGTTTTCTCCCTTCCAAAGACATGTTGGCTAGATAAACTAGTTTCTCTAAAAGTCCGTGCGTCTGTGATGGACTGGCATTTTATCCAGGGTGCACTCCCCCTTTTTCCTTGTGTCTGCTTGTTTACGTTTTGGACAATTCAAGGATGGACAAAATGTTGAACACTTCATTATTTCTACTGTATAACAAACTGTAACAACATTTAATTACATGAAAACAATCTTAAGATAGAAAAGATCTTTCCTTGTATATTTTGTCAGAACACTTACACTATTCATTGCACAATTAACCAAATAACATATGTTAATACACTGCAAACCTTTAGGTGGTACTCAGCTAGTGCACATTAATAACCCATCAAACCACATACGATATATGCAGATAAAATTAATTGACAATGTCTGGTGAACTGGAGGCTTGGTGGTTAGCTCTGCTGTCCCACACCCCTTGTGTCACTGGCATGATTCTGGCCTGGGGCACCTTCTGTGAGGTGTTTGCACTTTCTCCCTATGAGAACAAATCTCCAGTTTCCTTCCAGTATCCAAAGACATGCAGTCAAGGTTAAATGGACAGTAAATTTATATGTATGTGCCCTGTGATAATATAACCTTGCCTTGTGCCCTGTACATGCTGGTTTAGACTATCTCACTGTGACCCTCTAAGGATAAAGCAGGTACTCAAATTGTATTGATAGTGGCCATTTCCTATTTGATGAACCATTAAAACACCCTATATGAACAGTAATACTCTCAATGTCAGCACATTTATACATCAAATAATGAAAATGACAGATATCAAAGGACATCATGAAATGCTCAGTGATAATGCCTTGGTGGAACACTGCTGCTACATGACCCTGACAAATCATGAGGTCAGTTGTGTCAGTTATTGTAATGCCACCATACATGAATTGTAAATTTTGAATTATACACATAACAGAAGGCTTTTTCTGTTTCCTCATAAAATGCCAGAATACGTCACGAACATCAAGGAAAACTAACTTGAACCTTGATACATGAGATCAGCGCATGTGACCACTGGACTACAGCCTATCACTGATGTTGTCTACACCAGTCACTATAATTGTCTGGCAGAGAAGCAGTGTTAATGGGCTGTCACCTTTGCAGGATTCAAGAAAATGTCTTATGATTTATGTTAAAACATGAAGCCCCATGGTTCACTGCAGTTGTACTGTACAAACTGTCACACTATGCTATTGTGATAAACTGCTGGCTCTAAGGTCAGGTAGTACAACTCACTTGCTATAGGGTAACCAAATTTTATTTCTAATTCACTCAGAACCAGAAATAGCTGAAGACTGCCAGTAAAATAGAGTATCTGTGGATTTATATGGTTTCATTTACTGCAAAGTATTCCAAAAACCCTCCTGCCTTTGCTTGTCCTTAGACATAAAACTACATTGAATTTGACAAGAAAAACTGTTTTTACCAAGCTCAAAAAGCTATTTGTAGCCAAATTATACATGTGGAGTTGGATTAGTTTTGTTAACGAAGGTCTAAGAATTATAATACATTTACAGGATTATAATAGCAAAAGTAGCAAAGCTACTGTATCACATACACACAAACACAATAAAAAGAAATGAAAACAGAGGATATGACTGACCTGACTAGATGATATGACTGAAATGAACAATTATGACATTTGGTGAAAAGACCAGACCACATGATAATGGTAAGAGGATGAAGTGGCATTGGGCAATGGTGGAATGAGAATGAAGTTACTCGGATCATCTTTCCCAATTCAGTGGCACCAGGCTCGTCCATAGATGAAAAGGCTAGATTGGGTATACCCAGTGGGACTCTGGCAGCACTTGCATCAGGGTTAATCCAGAATGACAGCCATGAAAGAACCACAATCAGAAGGGTAGGACCATAGACGCCCATCATGTAAAATCCAACTTGCCGCCTTAATGTGAAGATTACCTCAACACAAGTATAATAGCCTGAAAAGAGAGAAGCAAGCAATCAAATCAAATCTGTTCAAATTGTTCCAAAATGTGGCAAAAAAACAAATGACCTTAATTATGGAGGACAATTTGTATAGAAAAAAAAAATCTTAAAATAAGCATGTAATAGGCTGACATGGTGAACAGATGCAACTGGTTTAGGTTTCTCTGATCAAAGCTCTGTGGCATATTTTAATTAATATACTGTATAAAGAAAACTCATAAGGTTTTATAACTACACATTATACCATTTTGTAAAATGGTAGGTATAGTTCTGTTAATATTATTTGTGAGAAAACAATTTAAAAAATAGTGTATTAAGTGCAGTTATTTTATAAGACTACCTTTTTGTTTGGCTACGTAAAAAAGCAATGGTATCTCATATACCAAAGAAGCAATGTCTGATGTATTTGCATGTCTCTGTCATGAGTCTGGATTAACTTTTAACTGCTTTTATACTCTGCCTTTGCCTGCTGTTCCTTTATCTCCCTTGTTAGCACCTTTAAATAAATAACATTGCATGATGTAATGCTTAACGGTTCTACTACTTTCAATCCACTTTCTTTAAACCCTTTTTAGCAGAGGACATGGCTTGGATATGGTTGGTTGGTTCAAAACAATGCTAACGTTCATGCCTCTGGTTCTTTGACAATTCATTTTAAGCCTTCAGTGTAGCCTATTCTGATTGCATTAAAATCAGTAGAACCTTGTGGAGAGTTAGAATGCATGTGCACAATAAGTATGCCTCTTTTATACTGGAATTGAATTGTATGAATTCTCTGACCTTAGCTTCTAAATTAAAGAGGTTTCATCCAATGCAACATAATATCAACACACCTGTCTTCATATTTCTCTATTGCAAACAATATTTATTTAGTTGTAACTGACAATTCACTAATTATTTAAAATGCCTGAAATTCTCTCAGTGAAACTCTTTATTTTCAAGTCTGATTCTAAAAAATCCTTAAAACAAAGTTAAGGCTCTCAATTATTGAACTTACCTTGGCTGTACATTTGTGTAATGTTTCTCTGTTCAAATAATAACATACTGTCTATACAATATGTGACCATTATGTATTTCTTCCCCTCCTTGCATCTTAAAAATTGTCATGTCATGTTTAGAAGGAAAATCTATATTAATTAATCTCTCCGTTAAAAGGCAGCAATTAAATATTTATGGAAAAACAACTTACATTAAGATTTTTTTCTCTGAATTATACTAACGGTAGGAAAACATAAAATTAAGATGGAAAAATAAATAGGTGGCCCCTTGAGCTAAAAAAACAAAAGAAGATTGCTTTTTTTGCTTAACATAGGATCTCAAATAATTACCTAAAATATAAAGTATTCTAATTTTTATTTTTAATACATGTTGTATTGTACAATGACAGCCACAATTAATTAATGAAAATGTGATAAGCACAGTGAAAAGTACTTAAAAGTGACAATAAAAACAAGATTAAAAGTAAAAAGCATAGATGTAAAACTGTTAAATTTGAATTAATACTCTTCAGAAAGCAGAAACCTGTAAGTCTACACATTATAATAGAAGCATAAATATCTTAATTTTGGCATGAACTGATTATTCCCCTATGGGCTGTGAATATTTCAACCAGAAATTATATAGAATTGAGTCACTGAAAATATGCCAATAAATTATACTAATTAAAGAAAGTATATGACCCTGTTTCCTGCCAGAAAATAAAAAAATTGAGCGATAATGTTTTTAGAAAAGTTTTTTCCTTCCAACCATCTTTGCTCCATAAACTCTTATGGGCAGAAACCTGACAACAGACAGAGTGAAACAGGTCTATTAATTCAATTATTTGTCTTTTATCAACACCAACAATCCTATAGTAATCCACTGAATTACTGACGCACTGAAGGGAAAATAATACTAGGACCCTTTTCCACAATCTCCTAAATATAGCTAAGAACACAACTTCCCAAGAGTCTACAATACAAAGCAATCAATGTTATTTGTTTTTTTAAATTTAAAATTGATAACGTTTGGAGTCATATTGTATACAGTGATTCTACCCCTACATAAAATGTGAATCTAACTGTATAGAGTTTCCTGCAATCTTCCCTCAGCAGCTATTTGAAATTATCAATAAAATTTAAAACCCTACCACTTTTTTTCTTGGATCTTATTCCCACTGCTCTACTGTATTCAAATTCTACAATTTGCAGGTCACATTGTCACAAACCATCAATTAATCATTCTTGAATGATCTGGAAGTCTTCCCTCAGCCCTTAAACTTGAAATTACCTCTATTAAAAAACAGAACTTAGACTCCAACCTAATCAATATTTATTGGACAATATAAAACTGTGCTCAGATTGATGAACAAATTAGGTTCAAGGTGTTATTCAAAATCAAGGCAATACGAAGGGCCGCTTCACATCACATTTTGCGTGAACTCTCAGGGATTTACAGTACAACAAAATGGCGACAATACAGTAATTTCACAAAATTCACAATTTTGTGCTTAATTCGTAATTTGTCAAATTTTGTCATACAATTCATTTATTTTCGTACTGAGATTTAATAATTGGTCTGAGAAATTGGGACTTCACCTTTAAGACAGAAAAGGATCCTTTGAGAAATGAACAGATGGAATTCTTGACTCATGAAGAAACGAGCAACCAAATAAACAAGTTCGCCTGAATGTCCTCCTCTTATAGTTCTTTTTATGTTCTAAAATGAACATTTGTTGAATCAAGCCTGTTCTACCAGTTTTACTTCAGAAAATCTGACAACCTTCCATGCCATTGGTAGTAGTACTTTTTTCTATACAGTGCTAAACTTCGATTTTAGTTGTCATTCAGTATACTGTATAATAATACTGCTGTAGCACTACAAAGAATTGCCTTAATATTAAAAGAATGTAAAAGAAAACAAGTCCATAAATTAATATATATATAGTGGCGGGTTCTAAGGTAGTCTTGTTTTCAACTATTCTTCCTTCGAAACAGATATTTACATCAGATTTCAAAATAACTTGTTGAATTTACTAGCTTGAGGACATTCATTGTAATCACATGCAATGGATTAGAGCTTTGGAACAGGGATAGCCTGGAAGTGCATAGAACTGATAATCAATTCGGTTTAGTGATCTGTTAGCTCTGAAGTAATTGCTCTGAGTGTATTAGATTTGATAACTGCATGTGTAGAAGCGTGAGGAGCACCCCAAATACACTGCTGGATCCTGATATTATATATACCACAAAAGCATTTACTAGCTTTTTCTCAGAAAAATAAAGAGAAGGAGTTTGTTAGAAGCTGCAAAATAAATACCAAACGAATTTTAGAAAGAATGAAGAAATAATAACTGAATATGTAAATAGTGCCCTGGGCTGAATAAACTTTCTCTTTTTTATTTAAAGCCTAGTGTAGCTGCTGCAATACAAACTTTCAAACCAAATGAAAGGACATGTTTGCAGGAAATGAACCGAGTGTCACAGTACCCTAATGAGACAAGGTCACATCATGTTTGATGTCAGCTACTGAAAGGCAGAGCTACAAAGCAAGCAATGAGCCTCTGCAGTGACAAAGCCTTGAGCAAAGAACTCCATGGCCTAAAACTTCTGAACCTACATATAATTGCGGAGTAACATTCATATTTTACTAAGAAATATTGAAATTGATCAATGAAATATTTAAAAATAATCTAACAAAAGAAACTGCAAATGCTCCAATTCATAATGATAACAAAACAGCAGTCACTTATTTTCTCAGTATTCTCTTGCTCTGTCTGACCTAGTATCTAGCCAGAATGTTCAAAAGAAGAGTCAATTAACGTAAAGTGAAAAGAAAGCTTTTTGCTCCAGCAAGGGATATACAAAGCATTTAAATTTCTACACTCTGGCTACAATGCTTTCAAAATACTACTTTCTAAGTGTGTTATTTATAGCAAATCTAGCTGTCAAGTTTAAACAATCTCCTTTTGCAGTAGCTCACTGGAGGAGTTTACAATACTTGTCTTCTGTCAAATACTGCAGCGTAAGCATACATGCACAGCTACAATGCATTAGACATGCAAACTTAATAGGATTCAGAAAATGCATTTGACTTAATTATCAGTACTTTTAAGGATTTAGTACTGGAATGTGACTTGAGGACTTACAGTACATATTTCCAAACTAAGGAAAATATCAACACTAGTAGCACAAACTACACAAAACTCTTCAAGGCAAAACCCACCTACAGTATGATGTATAATGACATTAATGAGGAGATCAGATTTTTTAAGATAAAAATTCAGCCTGATCAATATAAGATTTTTTTTGCAAGTATTTTACAAATATGTCACTATGACACCTGATGCAAAGATATTTATCTTGGATAGTTTCATTAAGCATTATATTTCAATTGCAGAAAACATTTTTGTAATCCATTTCGTGAACAGAATCCAAACAGGAGACTCAAAACTTGTAAAGCTTCCAGATGTTTTGGATATAGCACATGGGAGAAGCAAGGACAATTTGCATTATACAATAATTGTGTAAATGCCTTATTGGCTAATTTGTGAGTTAACACTGCTGACCTGCATCTAACCTCAAATACACCACTGCTGACACCCACCCATCACTTGTAAACACAAGCAAATCTAGAAATCATGGAAATTACATTTATGTAATGAGGAGAAAATGTTTGATAACATTTTTTGCTTTTTAAGTGGAAAAATCCAACAGAACAATTTTAATAGAATATTGGATATATTTGATGTATTACAGTATATACAGGCATTATAGTTAAAAAAAAATAAGATTTAGATCAAGTTTTTTTTACATAACTACAGCCACTGTACCCTAACATAAATTTATTACATAATAAAGAAGCATACATATTTTTTAAAAAAAGTATATATATCACTAGTGCTTTCTCTTATTTATATTCTCTGAATGCACAAACATTTATTCATCATGTATGAGTAATGCAATTTAAAAAAGAGCATACCAGTTCCTTTGTAATACTTTGTGCAGTTTCCATATTCAATATCTTCTTGTTTAATATCAAACTGGGGCAGAGCTATCTGTTCCATTTGGACTGGGTCTCCAGACTGCCATATGAACCTCAAGTCATCTGTTGTGTAACCAACTGAAACCAAAAAAATGAAAGACAATACATTCATAATTACTAATTATTGTTGGATAATTTTCTCATGAATTAAAAATAAATTAAATTATTATTTGTTTACAGTTGAATGAACAGAGTAGACTATTATTTCTACTAACCAATGCCTACTGTAGATTGCACAGAAGCTGATTTCCCCAAAGGTCAACTACCATATCACATGTTTGAGACACAGAAATTTCTAACAAGCAGTAGGTCCAATCAAATAATGAAATGGACATATTTGAGAAACAACCATGACTCCACCAAAAATTGCAAATGCATAGAATCTGATTCACTTTATTCAAATTAAATTAACTAATTTACATTATTCACTCAAAAGTCCATCAAATATGCTTCTGAACACATACCTTCTGTCAGCCAGTCAGAAAAGAATACTTATGTCAAAACATATGAAATTATGTAATCTAATACCATTCAAGGCAAGGAACACTTAGTATGCCATACCATGCTGAATACCACGACATGACAATATGTGAAAATACCCACTTTAATAAAGAACAAATATGCAAAATACAATGATTATTCAGAATAATTCAAAGACAAAACACAATATCCACATTTCATAATTTCACAAATGTGAGCTAAATTGAACCCAGAAATGAAAAAAAAATGTGCGTATGTTGTCAGTGTTAACAAACCAATGGGAAATCTACAAAATAAATAAATGAATTAATTTAAATAATATGATCATTGCTGCATCTTATATACTGTACATGTAGATCATCATGTGTGTGAATCACAACCTTAGAAAGCCTGAGAAGCCTTGCTTATTGAAAATAAAGTGATAATAAGACAAAATATTAAATGTTTTATAATGTTATAAACATTTTTAATGTTTGTTGAAGTCAATATGAATGACATACAGAGGGTGGACAAAATAAAGGAAACACCTAACAATATATTAATATCAAGGACCTAATAAGGAGTAGGGCCACCCTTTGCCTTCAGAACAGCTTCAATCTTCCTTGCAACGGTGTCATACAAGTCCTGAACTGTGTGTAGTGGGATATTGCACCCTTCTTCAAGAAGGAAAGCCTCCAGTTCTTTGAGGGATGAAGGAGGTGGAAATCTACTTCACACTCTGCACTCCAGAAATTCCTATAAAGATTCAATGATGTTTAGATCTGGTGATTGGGGAAGCAATGGAAGGCGTTTGACTTCATCCTGGTGTTCATGAAACCACTTTGGAATTTATTTAGCAATGTGTATGGAGGCATTATCATGCTGGAATATGGGAACATCATGAGGGAACAGTGTTTGCCCCATAGGGTGCACCTGGTCCTGTAAAATGGCCTCATATTGCTTGGCTGTTATACAACCATGCAGAGCAATCATCGGACCTAATGACTCCCACCAGATGGCTGCCCATACCATTACGGATCCCCCACCATGTTTAACAGTTGGCAACAGACATTGTGGGTTGAAGGCATCCTTTGGCTTTCTCCAGACAAACCCGTCCGGATGTAGGAAATAGGGTGAAAAATGACCAGACCATATGACATTTCTCCATTGCTCAGGTTTTGTGCTCCTTACACCAGGCTATGTGTCTTTGTGCGTTGGCCTTGGATACAAGCACCTTCCGAATGGCAGCCCTGCCATAAATTAAAGCTTTGTGAAGCTCACGACATCCAGTTTTTGTTGAGACTGGGATAGAGAGGTGCTGATTCAATTCTGTGGTAAATTTTGAGGTTGTACTTTGGTGGCATTTATCAACTATCCAGTGAAGTGTCCGTCTATCTCTGACTTGCGACCACTGTTCCTCTTTGCCGATGCACTCTGTCCATGTTTGGTATGTGCTTTCATTATTTTTGAGACTTTGTGACTTTTTTTTTTAGTTTTTGTGACCAATGCACCAACTATTTGGCCTCTTTGAAAACTCACATATCAAAGTGCTAATTGTCAGACCTCTTTTACACCTGACAGATACTGCTAATTGGCAATCAACCTAATATGACTAAGCTTTGCAGCTGCATTTGTAATTGTGATTTAGTTACTTCAAAGTTTACTTTTTCATGTAGTGGTTCCGTTAGTTTGTCCACCCCCTGTACTTGTTTGGTAATACTAATTACCAAATGTTCTAGATGAACCTAATGGTCTATGTTATTCAGGGAATTTTGGTTTAGTCAATAAATGTCTGAAATTGCTTTTCCCATTTAGTCAAAAGTCAAAGTTAAAACTGCTGTGCAACAGGTCACTTAATGAAAGCATTACATACAGCTTTCTAGTTGCATCTTGCATCGTTGTGTGTCCATGGGAAATAGGGTCAAATCCAATGGGCAGGACAGTGTGACAGACAGCCTGAGACATGAGGAAAAAAATAAATCAGCACAATTACAATAGTTAAAGTCGAAACAGTCAAACTCGATGTAGTAATGTATTAACTGCAATTTAGTTTCTACAATTCATTTCCAAAAATTACCACTGTAAATGCAAAAAAATCAGGAGATTATCAAAATGTAACACTTCAGAAATTAAGAGTAATGTGTAGTAAAGCACTATTACAGTACCACAGATTTTTAATTGGACTTTTAAAGCAAATGAAAAAAAATATTTAGAAATATATTCATTTTCTTTTGGCCAATAATCCATTAACTCATGCACAAGAGCTAGCACAGATTTGGTTTATTTTAATGTTAAACCAAACAACTGGAAAACATATGTATTAAATTTTGGAATACCAATTATAAGCTTGAGGTAATGAATGCAAACAAAAAACCCTTAGAGTTTATTTCCAACAACTATGCACAAGTGAGTCATAAAATAATTTGCTGGAGTACAGATTTTCTCTTCATGCTTTTCTAAGTAATCTTCAAATGAAGACATACATTATAAAAATATGGACATAGTTGCAAACATTTGCCCCATAATTTGCTCTAACCATGTGTATTTTATTAGCTAAAATAAATTCTGAATCTACTGTAAATACTGTCCCAATTTGTCTCTTCAGCTGAATAATTAGAACTCCTGTACTTCATGACATTTTCAACCCTATAAGTTGGATTCCTATCTTACGTAGCTGTTCCCTTGTTTGATAGCTTCAGCCCAATGGAGCACCAACATAATGTATAAACATGAAATCTCTAAATCAATTAGAAAAAGTACAGATTTCCTGAATCACAAAAAGGTTTAAGTTCAACCTAAATACCATTGAACAAAGAAAATAAATCTGCACTCCCAAAGCATTTTTTTTTCATTTTGCAATAGTTCAGCTCATGTTTCACTAAAGAAGTATTTTCACATGGCTGGACAAATTTACATGAAAAGTCAAAAGAAAACAAACCCCTGCATACCATTCGCAATAACTAAATGTAGTTTAGTAATTAAATTTGAAAAAATGTCTAGGGATAAGTGAAACCAACATACTAGTTTTGTATTTTTTAATGTAGTGTAGACTTATGTTTTGAATTAGCCCACATTTAACTTATTAAACAGACAGACTTTTTTTCTATCCAACAGACAGTATGATTTGAATGTATAGAGCTCCATCAAGATTGAAATTGTATAGGAATCTATACAGCATTTCTTGAATGTTTCTTTATGGTTGTAAATACCATTATTGATAAAGAACATAATTTAAAAGTGTCAATGTTAGTTGGACAATTTCCATTAAAAGCCTAACTAGAAAAGGCCTTCTATACCCATTTGTTCATCAGTTCAAATTCAGAATTCACAGGTAACTCATAAAGTTAGGATCAAGAAATTACAACAGGAGATTCCTGCTGGAATGGGAACTGAAATAATTATTTCAATTTGCATATATTTTAAGGAGAGTTAAATGCTAGTTTACATGTAAAATCATCCACTTGTCTTATGTGATTTAAATTCATTTGGCAAGACCAGAAAATGGGATGCTATAGTATATTCTTATGGTTCTTCACTTTAAACTGATCAAATCACAATAGGGAATAGATTAATGTAATTTAATTCTGTGTTTAATGTTTCTAAATTTATGACAGCATAATTGAGTTTAAAATCTTGATAAAATAGTGGTAAAACATTTTTAAAAAGGTGTAAAAGACTGAGGAAAATGTTTACCAAAAATCATCTCTCAATACCACATTTAAATCACTGTTGAGTCTTTGGAGTTTGGTTTGAAAGCTAAGCAAAGGTGAACATAATTTCTAACCAGGTCAGGCAATTAATAATAATAATAATAATAATAATAATAACAATAATAATATTACTGCATCATAGCCCATGCTGTTGCCTGAACAGCCAATTTGAAACCGACACCTGAAGAAGGCTCCACGGCCGAAACGTTGTGTTCTCTTTCTTCTTTTTTTCAGCATGGAATAAACCTATTACTTGTTCCTTTGCAGCCTACGCATGCTGACGCAGCTACCCACCTGAATCATTTCTAACCTTCAAGGATAGGTTCAGTGGTAAACAATATACTGAAAGCAGAACATTCTCACTAGATTAGTCTTGTTTAATAAAATCCACTCGAAAACACTCAATCTGAAATCTGATTAAAGGTAACTCACCTCATACTCAGAAGAACATCACCATTGCGATAAATGAACAGCAGGATGTTTTCTTGTGTGACATCATGGAAATTTGCATTCTTTTCATTTGCAAAAAACAAGTCTGGCTTCCAAAGGCATTTGAACATTTTAGGGTCGACGGTTAGGGCATCCGATTTGAAATCAGTTGGCAGTCTCAGTCTTGGGTCATTCCACCGCTGTCTTAAGAAGATGTTTACCCTATAATCCTGATAGATATTATGAGATAAAAACATTTTAAAGTTTGGGCTCATCAAAATCCAGTCCCACCTTTGCAAAAATCATGTAATACTGTAAAAACAGCAAGATTGGTGGTTATTGTGTGGTAAATCATACCTAAAAGAAAAATTCCACCATGACGTATGTACAGGTGGATGCTGCACATTGGTGGTGGTGGAGGGGAGTCCCCATTACCTATAAAGTGCTTTGAGTGGAGTGTCCAGAAAAGTGCTATATAAGTGTAAGCAATTAATAATAATAATAATATTATTATTACTGCATCATAGACCATGCTGTTGCCTGAACAGCCAATTTGAATAACTGAATTTAATTTAACCTATGGACTTTGAGGTGGTTTGCCAATGACTACTCCTTAATTGTTAACTCAGCATGCAAATCACAAATCTGTGGTGAAATCTCTACTGCACAACCTGTACTTATTTGATCATACTGTACATCACACTGAATCTCATTGAGAAACTTGTTGATGGGACCAACATCAGTGTCCATGTTTATTATCCATCTCTTGACTAGCTGAAAATCCATTGGAAAAGAAAACAGTTTGGTTTTCTGCTGATTTGATCCTCTGTTTTATTTGTGACCACTATGTTCTGAACAGCCAAACACCCAAAAGAGAGGCATTGTTTAAAATACATTATACATTAGTTCCAAAATTAATAAACGTGCTTAGGAGACCACATTTCTCATTTGCTTACAGCAACTAGTGAACAGGAAGGGCCGCTTTCATGTCACAATTTGCATGAATTCTCACTCATTCCTATGAGAACCATGCAGTACAAAGGTCACAACTTTGCACTTTACTTGAAATTTGGATAATTTCGCGATACCATCCATTAATTTTGTTAACGGGATTTAATAACCATTCTGAGAAATTGGGACTGCAGTTCCTCTTTTAATGACAATACTGCAAAACAGTCAAAATTATTCCACTTATAATGTGAACACTGAAGCATTCTGAACTTTTGTATATGTGATGTTAGCTTCACAGAATATGTTAAGTATAAATATACATTTTTTTTATTTTAAGTAAAAATTCTTATATCAATACAAGTGGGTTCAGGGATGCCAACATTAACAGCTAATATTCAAGATATAATACTGACAGGCAGGCAGCGAGGTGATCCAGTGGTTAGCGCTGGAGCCCTGGGTTTAGATCCAGGCCTGAGGTGCTATCTGTATGTAGTTTGTATGTTCTACCTGTGTTTCCATGGGTTTTCACCAGGTGCTCTGGTTTCCTCACATAGTCCAAAGACATACTGGTAGGTTAATTGGCCCCAGGGAAAATTTGCCCTAGCATGAGTGTGCGTGTGTGGTTGTCCTGTGATGGACAGGTGTCCCGTTCAGGGTGTACCCCACCATTCTTGTCAGGATAGGCTCTGACTCCCCACGATGCCTGTATTGGATCAAGCAGTTAGAAAATACTGACAGGCATCATCCACTGTGAATGAATAAAACGCTCATCACTATGAAGACATGTATTGGAGTAAAAGTTCTGTCATGACGGAAGAAATCTTCAAGAGAATTTTAGGTGCCATGTTTTTTTAAACTATATGTTTCTGAGAGGGATATGTCATAGTGGCTATGCTTACTGAGAACTTATTCATCTCACTCATTCATCCTAGCAAAGTGGGAGATCAGATTTCACATAGGATGTGGCCAATTATTTTCATGTATTAACACACATCTAATGAAATATATATAAATAAATTAAATATGCAGCCATATTTTTTTAGATCTACTGTAGAGCTAATTAAGAACATTTAAATACAATACTCTAATTTCAAACTGAAGGAAGAATACTTAATGTAAACTCTTTATTAATGCTTCATTCCCAGATGTTTAAATCAGTATGATTTTTGAGAACATCCAGGCAGCTGCCACAAAAGTCTGAAGTGCCTTAGTTCTTATGAATATCTCATCATTTTTATTTTTAACATCTGCTTACTGTACCCTTAAAATTGTCAAGGCATGTTAAAAACTTCTGTTTTAAATTTATTTTAAATGTCTGTTAAAGCTTTAACAAGGTACCAAAAAAAAAGATTAGACGTACTGTATGTAGGAACACATAACTGGCATGCTAATAAATTGTAGAAACATCTTATTAAATATATTATAACAAAATCTGCATTTCCAGCCCTTCACTGACGTATTAACTTACCTTAACGCCTTTACAGTCACATTATTTCTAAATATTATAAATAAGTAAAATTAGCACTCATCTGTCCATCCAACCAGAAACGTGTTTCCAAAACAGACCAAGCAGAATAAAGCCAAATACAAATATGAAAAATGCATGGACTTTAAACCCACAGCACGAAATCTAGAATTCTCTGAACTATTGAAGTTGTTTCCCACAGTCAAGTTTCAAAAGTGCAGCTGCTGTTTGAGAGGTACCATGTTTACATCTGTACAAACACCTTCCCGTGTTACAAGGGAGCTACAAGGAACCGAACGGGCTTCTCTGGTTGCAGCATTTACAGTTTAAAGTCTTGAACCTGCACTAGGAAAATGTCGTGACACATATCCTTACGTAGATTGAATTAAACAAGCTGTTTTAGATGTTTTTGTAAGCTCACAGTCTTGCAAACTACAAATGTTAGCTCTTTTGTTTAGCATTTTCATCCATTAAATGTCATATTTTGCTTAACAATATTGAAAAGAGGCTTTGGGTTGTGCTCTTGTGTGAAACCCAAGTCTGGAAAAATGTCAAACAGCCCACAAACAATCCCAGCTGTAGTGGGGGGTTGTGTGAAGTAGCTTTGTGATATCCCCCTGGAGAACCGCTGGCATTCACACACAAATACTTAAGAAAACTGTCAATCTGAACAGAGCAATGGAGAAAATCTGTGCACTATGGTAATATAACTGAATAAGAATTGTTACCTTATCCCTGGAGACAGGAAGCCTTCATTACAGAATTTAAATTTTTCACTTAAACCTATTCATAAAACACAAACTCAATGGCTATACAACATGGGGCTCCATAAAAACAAATTGCATTGCACTTTGGTCAACAGAGATTACAAACCCAATTCAGAGTCTGTTAAGGGGTTACATATATTATCTGCTGCATTTAACTTTTATTCTATATGATCCATGCTGAATAAACGTGGTTAGCACCACATTAGAAGCTAACATTTAATAAGAGCTGTTCTAGCCTATTATACACCATGACAGTGAAAGTTTGAGGGGATTATTAAATGGCCCACACCCCTCAGATGGTGTAATGCAATTGTAATAGCATGTCTCAGTGAGAATTCTCTCAAGAAAATATGTCTTAAACAAATACTGGAACATTTTGCAACAGCTGCTTCAACATGTTACCAATGCCAGTGCACAGAAATTCCAAATTTCAAATACTCTAGGAGATGTTCACATCTGCTCAGACTCACCCTGCACAAACAGACACTAAGCCCCCAATCAGCCTCATCCATCAGTCAAGTACTACTGTTAATCATGTTCCTAAATAATATGTTCCTAAAACTGGTTTTGTAAACAAGACTAAATTATCTGCTGACATATGTTCTCTTTACTATTAAAAGTGAAGACAAGGAGATCAACAATATTCTGTTTCCTCCAATGACAAACTGGACCTGTACAGAAAACACTTTAGAATTTCCAATAAGAAAAATGATTTTTTAGCAAAATTTAAAGATGACTACCCCACCACAATGAATACAATAAAGTAGCCCAACTTTTCCATCCTCTGAAACTCTCTCCCTCCCAACTTATAGTTTTGGTGCAGGAAACTACCAGCTGTAGGGAAAACTGATTATAATCAGGTAATTCGATAATCCAACTAAAATAATTCAATTGTTTAATATATTCAGAAATAGTTTCTTGATTAACAAGAGAAATATAATTGAAAATAGGTAAACTGTTAAGGAATAGAAAATACTGGAGGGGGCTTAATAACTTAGTTCTTTTCAATTCAGGAAAATTTTACATTAAAATTAAACAACTGATAAACTACAGTACCTGTTCAGTACCTGGAATTGATGATATCACAAAGTGTGGAGAACTGAGAAAACTGTCTTCATCAACTGGCCCATTTACACACTGTTTACATATAAACGCATACTACATTTAAAATTATTTAAAGTTAAACCACTTGTTCTTACCATAGTTGTTTCTTGAATTGAACCAAAGCTGTTGATGAAAATGTTAACTTTGTCATCTACTGGAATACCTATAAAATGGCAAGAAACAAAATACGAGTTTATGTATTCTGAGAACTCAGCTTTGCATTTTGAATAAGCAAACCCTTGAACAGCTAAAATAAAAAGGAGCAACAATATTGCAAAAATCAAGTACTTCATATAAGTGTTTCAAATTTTGCTCATAATTCATTTGGAGTCAATACTGATTGATGTGAATTACAAGATCTAATATATTCCTTTTCTTCATTTAAATAATACATGGGAATATAAGGTACAGTATTACAATACAGACAGAATTAGAAGTCCACTGAACTATTATTCTTGGTTAAGCAGTTTCATTATTTACAGTCTCCTGCTGAATTACTCATTTATTATGGTAAAAAAAATAAGCAAAGGTGAATTTCTCTGAAAACTATCTCAACACCACAGAAGACAATATGTTAAATCTGAAAACTATGTGATTTACAAAAAAAATACTATGAATCACTTAATGTTTACAACACTGTCATTTTAATTCCCATTAAAGTAAAAAAGTCAGTGTATCAATTGTAATGTAAACTTGGTCTTTGTGCAAAGAATTCTTGCATGGAATGTTTTTATTTTGGTTTGGGTTTCTTGTGTTTTCAAAAATACAATCTGCATATAGCAAAGCTTAATCAGTACAACAAAAAATATTTTACTACTTGCTTATGAACAACTCTATTTCAACTACTAACTAACCTCCAGAAATATCAGGACACCAAAGCAAACCTGTTATTATTCCTTATTATTAATTAATTAATTTGTACGTGTGATCATTAGATTAATATGAACGATAAAATAGGAAGGACAATACATATTTTATTTTGGCTGATTTGATGTATACATGTGATCATATTACAATAAAAACATACTTTGTGTTTTTCAAAAGTCAGGATGTGACCCTTCTGAGGCAATAATGAAGTCTGTGACTCACTGATCTCACCAAACTCTTTTGTGTAATTATATGAGATGCTTTGTTTGCTGCAGCTACCATAGGCCCTTATCTATTCTTCGTGTCCAGTTGTTTTCTTCAGCATGTAAAATACACATATAATTGTATTCAAATTACTGCAGACTGACTTGGACAGTCACTTTTTTCTTCTGATATACTGAACACCTTGTTGCACTGACTACATGTTTTGGCTATCATCCTAATACTTCTGTTCCTTCAAAATAGAGGTTCAGAAAAATTATATGAAGAACTGAATTAACTTCATTGAAAATAAAATACTTATTCTACTTATCTGTTATGTTTTTTTTCCATAAAAAAATATTATTCGTGCTCATATAGAACATCACAATTTACACTTCACTGTCCCAGTTATTTAGTAGGGAACTATACTGGTCATCTGGTAATGACTTCATTTAGCTTTTATTGTTTTAATGGAAATACAGATAATTACTTCAAGTTTTAAGTGTCAAGTTAAGTATCATTTTAAAACAATCAGTCCAACACATTCAAACTACTGTGGGAATGTTTACGTTTGAAAACTAGCATTGTCAAAGCATCAGATCTTCATTAAGGTTATGTTTTGAATGTACAAATGTTTCACTGAAAGTGAGTCCTTCTCCATTATGATTCAATCCATGGGCCAAAGATTTCACTAAAAATAATGCACTGCTTTACAAACCACAGATTAAGGAATATTCTGATTATATTAAAATAAAAAAATCTAGTATCTTTGAAAAACTAAGGACATTTATCAGAGCAAATTGCTTTATGACACAAACCTGTCAAAATCGACAGTAAAATTCAGTTCTTAGCACTGAAATACTCTAATATTTAATGACTGCCACAAGAACGAGCAATACATTTTAAAAAACAAACGTTTTGGAAAAAAAAACAATGAACTGACCTTTGAAATTTGGTCGAATTCTGGGATCATAACTGACCAGCAATCTGTTCAAGATGTTACTTGTGGAGTTTGCAGGTACCCGGGCAAGATCCTCTGATGATAACTGTCTGTGGAAGTTTGAAATATTATTAAAAGAACATGGAAACATTGAAGGGTTGAAATGAAAGTCTGAAACTAATAAACCTCCATCTAGAATTCTGAGACTGATAAAATTAAATCTACATTCCATCCTTAGTTTACAGCTGTGGCAAATCAAATCCTAGAACACCTACAGTACAATCATGCTCCTCAGTTTTGTATGTGGAAAAAAAACCCATTAAATGTTGCAAATAAAGTGTCATATTGTAACTGCTGACAACCTTAATAAATGCAACAGGGACCACTGAGGTACAGTATCTGCATTTAACAAACAGCAAAGCTAGTCAACCTGTTAAATGACAAAAACTTGCTTCAAGGTTAGTCTGAAATCAATGGTGCAACCAACACCATGGGTTTGCTCTGGAATCAGATTCAACAAACTAATAATGTGCTTTTCCCTGATTAATTTAAAATTAAGATTTTTCTGAGCATCAACAACGTTAACCTAAAATGTGTGCTTCCAAGACAATCTTTGTCTTCTGGTTGAGCGTAAATGTGATCTGATTAAAGGATGGGAGGGAGATGACCAGAATTTCCAAGGACAGAGTCAAACTGTGATTATTCCAATGAGATGCTGATGCAATGCAGTCACTGATGAAAGCAGACATACAGTACCAAATGTTGGACACTGTCTTCAGGGTCAAGTTAGGTTCAAAAAGTAGATTGCATTGTAAGACCATAGGGTGTAAAATAATTACCTGAAAGTAATAATCATAAATAAGAATTGTACAAAAAGCATTTGCCAACTAAATAAAAAAAGAAGGCTTATTAATATAAGGTGGAGCCCCTTTAGGACATCTGAACTCTGGAGAAATGTAATACAAGATCACAAATACTGTACAGTATCACTCAGAGGTTTTCCTTGCATTTTTATGCATTGCCTTTCACCATAAAAATGTTTTTAAAATTCCCTAATTTGAAATTATTTTTCCTTGTGTATATTCAAATTAGATTGTGCATTTATTAAAATACACTATATATAACATAACTAAAAACATCACAAATTACAGTGAATTTATAAAGAAAATGGTGTTGTAAACAAAAAGGCTAAGATCAGCTACTGTAAATATTTTCTAACATTCTCTAGCTGTGGACCTCCATCTCATCTGACTCAAACGAAAGGAAATGACAGGAAGTGGGAATCAGCATGGGCTGGATCACTTGGGTGATTCTGTTTACCATGACAATAAATGATACATAACTTGGTAGGGGTGGAATGCAGAAGAAATGAGGTTACCCAAATCAAATATGCATCGGCCACAAATTATTGGCTAAATGGGCGATCTGAATAATCACTGTGAGCAGACGAATTCTGCAGGGGCTAAAGACATTGATGACATTGGCTGGAGTGAGTTTCAAGCCACTGAAATCCAGATTCTTGACATCTAAGAAAGGTGGACATGTTCTGATTCCCTCAATGCATTAAGAAACCAGTAAAAAACCTAGGTAAGATGTTCAACAGAGGCTGTATCCTTCAAGCTGCTAACAAGGCCAACAGGCAAGACAGATGTTTTAGGACAGTGGATACATGCAGTACACATTACAACCTATAAATCAAACTTATTTTGTATCCAACAAAATCACAAAATCCAAAAGTGATCAAGAAAACACATACGAGGGGCAGAGATGTTGTTTCCTTTTTCCTTTTCCTTTCTTGGATGACTTTTCCTTTGTAAAACCTTCTTCCATCCAAATGGCGAAGACAAGGATCAGAAAGGTCAGCTTTATCACTTTCATTCTGGAAAGCACCAAGCTCACCGAAAAAGGCTGGAATAAAAAGTCATTGACAATTGTAACTATAGTTATGCAAGAGGTTTTATGTGGTTTCTGTGAAACAAAACTGTCATGGCAAATCTTTACATAGAAATCAACATGCAGAATGTCAACCAAGAAAATAGGCCTGTGCTTTTTCCAGCAGCAAATCTAACACAAGCCAAAAGACTAATTTGACAGTAATTCGTTTTTCATTTTGACATTCAAGAAAATTAAAGTATGAGGAAAAAAATGAGTAGGTAAAAATGTGTGGATGTTACTTTAAACATCATGTAGATTTGGCTGTTTGTACTTTAACCTAATTAAAACTATATAATTCAGGATACCAGGAAACAAACAACAATGTGGTTAGAAAATTACTCTGAACAGTCAAGCCTCTATGCAACAAATTCCTCCTAGTATCATTTCTTACTGCCTGCATTGTGAAACTTAGTTCTTGTTTCATTGTTGAAAACGAAGTAGTGGTCAAGACAAAGGAAATGAATAAAGCCTCTGTGTGACAAGTGCCATTTTCTTTTTTTGCAGGGTAATGACCAAAATTAATGTATACTTATTTCTTATTTTAAGCTTCAACATTGCAAGTATTTGAATTTTAAGATTTACTGTTTTGGGGCAGGACTGAAAAGGTGTTGTATTGTAACACAGTACTTTAATACACATTGATACCTTAATTAATCCAATAATAATTTCTAAAAGCAAGGAGTTGCATGCAGATGTGGTTCAATCATCCCTGTACAGCCAAGTTGATTTTGTCCCAATGCAAATTAGGAATGAAATCACTGGAAACACCCTTAATTATTTAACTCCATTAAATTAATTTGTACACTGAATCATATAGCATCCATTACTGGAATGCTTGTGGAACATTAGATATGAAAAAATGATTGTATTTTTAAGTCCACGTTTTACGTTAATATAAAAAAAACAACAAAAGGGCAAAGTTTTGATTTGCTGTGGAAAATATTAGTTGCCACAAATCTTCAGAAATGTAACAAACAAAAGGTAGTGAGTATTTTTACACAAATAATGTTAAAAAATAAACAATTAATAAAATGGAAGAAAATTCTGTTCACTGATACATACTGCAGTAAAACTTTCATACAAACCACAGTTATGTTGAATCTTCCATCCTTAGCTGTATTTAAATTAGAATGTCAGGAGTGTAATATTGATTTTGTCAATTACAAATGTTCAGTATATTTATATTCACACATGCATAAGAAATTCAACAGACAAGCAAAAAGGATTGCTACCGGATCCCCAAAACAATCTATAAAATGGCAAGAAGATGGAATCAGGTTTGCAGGATGAACTAACAGTACAACTGGAGGTCGGAAGACTAGAAAACTGCTATGGTAGCCTTGATACATTGGACAACCAAAGTCTTATTATGAGTATATTTACACAGCTGTGAAAAGTCTTAGAGATTCTAGAAATAAGGTTCACAATGGATGTATGTAATCAGCATCTACTGTACATATTAATCAAAGCCCCACTAGTGCTTTCTATTTTAACTTCGATACTAACATTTTAGTTTGGGTGGAAAGAAACCAAGATTTTCATTTATCAATCTTTAGTTCACACTGATCAGAATCTTCAAAAACTTAAGTTACCTTAGGTAAACTATACATGATTATCAAACATGAAGTGTTGTGGCTAATTTATCAAATTTTCTAACCAAATTTAACTGACTTGTCAGGTGTTCTTTGTCATCAAAACTATTTGCTCTGCTCTCACACTCATAAAGGTAACAGTAAAAATACAAATTTATCAGGATTAACTGTTAGCGTAAATCTAAGTGGCTAAATGTTTAGAAGATCACCAATGCATTGTTTTTAAACAAAAAATGAAAAAACACGAGAGTGGAAAGAGCAGAATGATAAAAAAAAATCTGCATAGCATTGCACACAAATAATGAGCATGCAGCATATTTCAAATAGGATACATATGATTCATTAAGGCCTGCAGTGAGCACACAGGAGATTGTCAAAATCGATCATTTCACAACATCCCATTAGACTAACACATTCTTCATGTACTCCTCAACCCCTTTACTATACAAAATGCTACCAGGGAAACTGAACAAATACTTCTTTGCCTAAGATAGCTATGTGAATCTTTAATATAAATAATAAAATGCAATAAGCCTACAGTTACTTGCATTATCGTTGCAAACCAATCCAAACTGTAATTCTATTGTCACCTCAACCTGTTTCACCTTAAACTTTTGCAATACATTTAGCGATAACAGCTGGGGTGTAAAGGTAACAAAATTTTTGTTTGTTTTAAATCAAGGATTATTTACTTCTTGTACTCACGCTTCCAGACAAAACGAAAAACCATGAACAAAATTATAGAATATACTGGAATTGTGATAAATCAATTGAGATACACGTTTGTCAAAGATTTTTAGAAATACAACATAAAGTTACTATCTTCACCCACAAACCAAAAATAGCTGTAAAGATCGCGCCGACATAAAAGCATCTTATCCACCGTGCTGCGTAAAAAGAATGCGGGAATGCAGAAAACGTCAAGAGGGAAAAAAAAAACATCAATACTGACTTGAATGGCGTCTGTTGCGCATAGTTCACAGTAATAACGACATATTTACAGTTACTAAAATTATATAGTACACTTACCATCCAAGTTTTTATTTTTTCCCCAGTAACCGTTTTTGGTACCTAGTAAAATTAAAAGTAAAAGCTACAACACAGCTGATTGTGCAAACAGTAGAAAGCCATCACTTAAAAAATGCACACTGTTTTCTTCAGTTAAGACTGTCTACAATTTACACAAACCTCTTAATCATATTTTTTTCGGACTGTTTTCATTTCTTCATTCTGTCCTCTATCTGTAGCTCAAACTATTTTAAATATTATACATTTATCCCTACCCTTTCCATCTACATCAAAATGCCCAAGATGGAGGCTGCGTGCACCTGCTACATGCGCAGTAGCTCCAAGGCGATTAAATTAATGACTGCCTCAGCAGCACTTCAAAGCAGCAGAGCCGTCCGGCTCTATCATTATGTAAGACAGACTTCTGCTGTTGTTGTAATTCCTTAGTACTACAATACGGTAAACCCCTAAAGGGCTATCCATTTGGAATCACGCAGGGTCGAGAAAAACGCTACAAATGTTTTCCCAGTAAAACGCTTTAAAATTACAGCGAGTTTAGCATGAACTGTGTAGTATGGTGTGTGTCATAATTATGTTTTCATCAGATGGAATGTTCTAAAATCAACAATTTGGACAGATTCATTCACAATCATCGTTGCATAAATGTTATGATATTTTGTGATAATACTGAACTATTACCATTTGTTGCCATGAAGTATGCCAATGTTCTATATATGAGACGATTATTAAAGTATCCGACTTTTTCCAAGGGTAGTCTCTAATGAAGTACTGTAGTAATATAAACTATTATACGAGAACAGAAATCAATTTTAAAATGGTTTTGTTTTTATGAGCCTACTATAGCTACAGTACAAGAAGATATTGTAACACTATGGGGTTCACATAATATTGTGATGATTCATTTCTGTATTAATAGCTCTATTTTTTAATAAATTGAGTATACATGCTTTAGCTATTTAATGCGGCACATTATTTTACTCAAAGGTGTCTTGATTTTCAAGTGTTTTATGTGTTTCAGACAAACTGTCAACATGAAATACAGTACATTCCACTTTCATTCTTGAATAAAGTCCATCTAAATCTCTTTTTGACAATCTGTGATTTATTCACACTTGTTCAGTCAAGCAAATACAGTTTCCTTTTAGGACTTTTTTAAGCATGTGTCTGGTTTGATTTATTTTAAAAAATTATATAAAAAAACATAACATTAAAAACACAGTAGGGGTGGCTCATGAGTAACTCAGCTACTAACGGTACCTGCTAACACAAGTTGAGGTCCATAATCCAGACATGTTCTGCTTGAGCCAGGGATGCATTATCCAACTGATATCAAGATTCAGCAAGAACATGCCCACAACTGCCTGAGCACTGCAATGGTTGGATGGTCTTTAGTTAATTAGGTTACTTTTAGATTTTCTGTGCACAGAGTGATCCCTGGAACTTTCCATCTTGCCCTAGTCTGCCATTAATAAGAAACAAACTTTTCCCTTTTTAGCTTCTGTGAACAGTGTACAGTAGATGACAAATGGTGAAGATGATCTCTGCAATTTCTACACATGCAGCATTCTCTTACAAAAATAAAAACATAAGAACATAAGAAAGGACTGCAGATGAGAGGGGAACATTCAGCCCATCTTGATCGGTTGGTAAGTGTGTAGCTAAGTGAATCAAATTTCTTCCAGATGTTTTTTGAAAGTACCCATAGTTTGGGCCTCATCCTGTCACGATCGTTACTCCTCCTCTTAAGGGCGCTCCAGCCCTTCCTCGTTCTGTCCCATTCCCCACACCTGTTCCTTATTCCAGCCCCTCTTTAGTTCCACCTTTAAAGCCAGACGCAGGCGTTTGCCTGAGGCTTCTCATTGAATCCTGTTTCATGAGAGCCTGGGGTCCTGCAGCATCTGGCTCCGTTATGGTTTTAGTTTCCTGTTCCTGATTCCCTGTCCCGCTGGTCCAGACCCGGTTCTGTTTTTTAAATTACTTTAGATGGATACCCTGGTCTTGTACTCTGCCTCTCGTATTGGATTTCCCTTTTGGATTTATGTTTGGATTGTTTGCCCCCGACTCACTTCCCCTGGACACCTGCTCACCTCGGACACGCCCCCCTGTCTCCTGACCCGCTCCTGCATGATATTTTTCCCTATTGTTTCTTCACCTTCCGGATCGTGTCGTCCGGATAGGGCCGGAAAGAACTGTTCTTGACACATCCACCTGTCTTGGAAGCCTGTTTTAGATACTGTACCCACCACTATTTAAGTAAACAAGTCTTTTTTGTACATCCTAAATGTATTAAATTGATTCCTCTTAGGTTTTGAATTGTGACCCTGCGTCCTTGGAGCTTGATCTGTAATGTGGTGTACAATATGTATTTAGATGTTGTCTATTTTGAACACCTGAGTGAAATATTTATTTAAAGTATATTTCATGTCTTCATCATTATCTATTATTAGTCCCCTATTATATT